AAAAGCGTCAAATGCCGTTTACAGATCGAAAATCGGACCATTGGTTCAGACTTTATCGGTAAAGTAAAATTTTCTTATTTTGGTGCTGCCACGTGGTGGCCACAAATTGTACTAGTGTCGGTACATTTAGCCTTAAATAATGTCGATGGCGATAGTCGACAGATTCTCCTAACAGACTCGGTGAAATGAAACTCAGAGAGGAACAACACACTAAGTTTCTTACAGAAGCGAAGTATACTGAGAAATAAAAATTTCTAACGAAAAGTCAAAACGGTAGTGAACAGAATACAATATTTTCTGACAGCTATATACGCTCTACTCCGACTTCTGTTTACAGATAGAGGTTGGAGAGGGGGTAACACTTATCGTTGCCAGTTGCAGTAAGCGCGCTCCGGGTGGCCCTTATCAGGGAAAGGGATGAGGGCCTCAGGCGAGGGAACTCGAGATATCACGGCGGGTGAAAGGTTGAAGTGACCCTTTGAATTATGTGTAGGTCAAACAAGCAAGCTTCAGTATCGACGGAATATTTCAAGCCCTATCCGATAACTTCTTGGGGGTCACAGAAGGCGCCTTTTCCTCCGATCCCAAAATACAACTTTATCGTCATGGACGCCATGTCATTTGTTTTAATTGAAGGCGTAAGCCCTCTCTTGTTCTGGGGTACATGGTGTACTACGCACCGTCAGTACGTTGGGATATAACACGTGTGTAACAGAAGAAGATATCGGGCATCTTCTTGAGTTACTGATAAGGACTTGATGAAGAAAAAATTAATGCTCTTCTAAACATTAGGGACAGTAAACTGCTTCATTTAATTAATTTGTCTATTGAATAGTAATTTTCTAGTTCCCGTGCGTGAAGAATTGTAGTGGTACTCACGGAAAGACGTAGTGTAGGAGTACTCACGCGTGTGAACGGCTGAAAACGTTAGGAAGTATATGGAACGCGAAGGGATGTGCGGCGGGCGTGAAGGAGTGTAATGGAACTCACGAGAAGGCGTAGTGTGACGGGCGTGATGGACTGTAATCGAACTCACGCGAAGGTAAATGCGGAGGGCGCGAAGGAGTGTAATCGAACTCACGCGAAGGCGTAGTGCGGCGCGCGGAGGGGGCGCGCGGGGCCGGAGCGCGTGCGGCAGGCGAGCGGTGGGACGCGCACGTCGAGGCTCAGGCTGGTAGAGGGCAGCAGACGGCGCGCCAGGCCGCGCAGCGCAACCTCCACGTCGGCGGCCGAGCAGGCGGCGGGCACGCACACACCCCACTCGCCGCGAGACAGCTCGGGCACGAACCCTGGCGATGGCACCATCACTCCGTTGCCCTGCGCAAAGGAAATTAGTTTGTTGAACTGGATGGCAGAACTAATGAATTATATGTCACAAGATATGTATGTACAAGATGCAACATGTATCAGAGAAGAGCTTCGTAAATATGTTGCAATGTCTTACAGAGAGATGATAATCTGGTCAGAAGGCCATGATCGTTAGGGCAGCAGTGCGGTAGCGGTCTCGGGCCAGAACACCGCTGATTTGAGTCGCGCCTCGGATATGGATGATTTTATGTATGTCTATATATGTGTATACAGTCCTTTCATCCCTCACTATCATCATCATCCCATCGTCTGTACTTCCAGGGATTACATCCTTGGAAGATGAAAATCGGAATTCACCTAAAATGCTGACGCCCTCCCCTCCCCCGAGAAATCCCTCCCTAGCACCTGCTGAAGCAGGATGCACGCGTAATATGAGTTAGTCTATACACGAAAAACGAGAAGTGATAATTTTAGTATCTGGTTGCATTTTAAATATGTGCTAATATTGTAAAGTACACTCGTGGTTGAAACTCACTGGGTGAAGTCGATGCCCAAGAGCCTCCTCCCCTGGTATTCATCACGAAAAAACTCTCCTAACGTGGAACGGGTTCCAGTGCTGGGCTTTAAGTGCTCTGCGCGGCCGCCAGATGTCACCACTTTTGACCGTGTGAAGGTAAAGTGTGTAGCCGATAACGAAAACCAGTGGGCCTTTTTCCGATGTTTCAGGAAAAAGGAGTGAGAGGCCATATACACCTGTTAATTTCTTTTGGGTTAGGAATTATGGTTTTTGTTCGTAGATACCGTAACAATGGCGAAATGTTTAGTGCATTCGAATGAACTGCAGTAAGTTAAAGAGTTTAACCGACAAAGGTATTTCACAGCTTTGCATCTCAGGGAAACCCTCAAGATGAAAATAATTTCTGAGAATTTACAGATCTGTTTGTTAACATTAAATACATAAATACACGTTATACAAAAGGTTTTCAGATCCAAACCTATATGCAAGCTTATGTCGACGCCGTGAATCCGAATATGAAGGTAGAACTGCGCCATCACCCGTGTTTTTTCAATCGCGAAAAACCAACGTGACATTGTATTTTTTTCGTGTGTTATTATGAGACTCTAAGACATGACACATCGATACCTAAAAGAAAAAAATACCCAGTTCAGATATGTTTTCGCGAATAAAAATACCGGAGGGTGGTGGCGCAACTCTAGCTTCAGATTCGGATTTAACACTGACATTCATAGAGAAACATGTGTCAAGTCTTTGGGTCTTTTTTATTTTACGTATTTACCACTTTTTTAAATTTCTTGCGCCTGTGTTATTGGTTTCGGACAAACTTATATGGTCGTATTATATAACATTGTATAAAATATTGTTTTAGAATGTTAAAACTATCTCCTCCAAACATGTGTTGGAAGAGGAATTACAGTACTGGTTACGATAAGTAGAGTCGGATATTTCTTTGTATTATGAAATAATCCACTTTTTAACCCATTATTTTATTTTCCATATTTTTATTGAATCATAATCTTTTAAATAATGATAATCTTTCAAAATCGTAATTAGCGAGCAAACCTTTTCCCCTACTTCAGTACCATCATTGGAACAGTACACCGCTTTGGGCACTGTCTTTGTTCTGCCGCTCGGTACTGAGCAGAAAGCCGATGTTTGTGGCGTCACAGAGTTGCCATGCCCGTGTAATAAGTCATAAATTGTGCGTGAAATAGGTTTTAAATTATTATAACAATATTTTTTTTAAATTGTTGTTGGCTACGTGTTCATTTTTAGCACATCAATGTAGCCCTGAAAACCGTATACATTATCCCCATTAGTCATATCATATTAGCCCCCAAACAATTGAGTTTGTATATGTAATGTCACGATTAATATTTTTGAAATCCTTTATGTAGAAAAATACATTCGTTGTGAATATTACATATTTTCCAAAATATCCTGCCGTCGAAAATGACAAAGTAACATCAAAAGTTTCCTATCACGGTGGAAAAGTTTTGACTAAAAGAATCATATCGCCTTTTTATTTTTATGCCCAAATACTGTAACACTTAGAGTTCATGATATATGGCCATAATAAAATATATTTTCTATTATTTGATATTTTTTCTTAATTTTGGATACCAAAGAGTAATAATTCTAACGATATATCACTTTAGCCCCAATGTTTTGTGTATCGTATTAACACGTGCTAACACTATATATAGATATAGAGTAGAAGTTTTCTTTTCAAACAGAAAATTATATCTCCCTTTTAAGAAAAAACATAAACATAAGAATGATAATTCGGTTATGATTTATCAATGGGATCTAAATTCGAGATTCTAAATTTAAAATCGAGATTTTAAATTTCTAGATATTTCATCCAGCTGATAGCCGGTTATTCTTTTTATCACGATGGGCAAAAAAATTCCACCACACACTACTCACCAACACAATTGCGCGCTCCGCTGATCAGGAATCAGTACACAGCGAAGCCCTCCATGATAGCATATACAGAGAACAAAGAACAAACAACCATGCCCAAGGCGGTCGAACCCACGACACTTCGGACTGTAGCTCTGAGTTGGTACACGCTCTTAGAAGTCTCGGCCATCTATATCGGCTCCATTGAACTTCCACAGAAAATACTGGTTGGACATTTCTATTAGGGAATAATTGGGGTTTGAGCATGTTGAATTGACAGAGTTTTGCGTTGCATACGAGGTATTTTTGAAACAACAAATCGATGTGCTATGATTGCGAATTTTATTGGCACAAAATTACCAAATGTACTTGTCGGTGGCGCAGCTCGAGGTGTCGGCGTCCGGCCGTGGCGATATCGAGAAGACGAGTGACGCGCACGCTGTCCGAATCCATATGGAAGCCGGCCAGGCAGTACATCCCTTGCAAGGTGGTGTTGTGCACCTCTGCCTCCACCGCCACGCACTCATCCATGTCTCCCAGCGCGCGCAGGTTGCCGCGCAGCAGCCCCGAGGGCACCTTGGCCGTCGCATCTGCCACTGCGCGCACAAACACACACAGCGCTATAGAATAACAGACCGGAGAGTGTCAGTTCGTGGTGAGCATGTAAGTAAACTTGTATGCGGCTCTTAAGGTGACTTGACGCACGCGGCATTTGGCGCATCCCGAGCAACCGCTCACCGAATTCCTTGTAGTGTGAACGTCTTGCAATTTGCCGAGCGCCGAACATTAGGCATTCGTCCTCCCACTGCGTGTCGGTCTTGATGTCATATCAAAGAGAGTGAACATACACCGAAACATCAGCTGTTTCGGTTTGCACGAGTTGCTCGGTGCATGCTGAATGTGTAGAACTGCCTTTATACAATGCCATCGCAGGCAACCACCGGTCCTGCAGGGCTACCACGAATCGTTCTATCGCATTACATTACATATATTTCATACAGAATATTTCTAACGAAATGGTAAAGGAAGGTTTGAATTTAAATACGAAGTATCTGGGAAATTTGCTAGAATGGAAAGTCTTCTTAACCTTAAGATGCTAATCTATTGTAACGTATTAGCCAGCGTGCCTCGTGGCATCTATTTGGGGACGCCTGGTAGAGGATTAGTAAGAGAAAACTCCTCGCCACAGGAAGGAGAGAAGGGTTTCTCCGTAAAAAAAAAGAACGCGGAAACGGGAGACACAAGGCTTTGGGGTCTTCCGGTCTTAAGACACGGAGACCCAAACCCTTTTTAATTGTTAGCATTACAACAGCGGTGGGAGTGGCGTGACGTAGTAGGTCACGCGGGCCTCGCCTATATAACGGAGTGCACAGAGCCAGTGGGTGGGTACTGGAGACAGTCGGAGAACCTCGTGCATGTTCACAAAACTTGGCGCCACGATGGTGCATATGCGGGCCAGGATCGCGAGGAAAGTCACGAGTTGACGAGCTTGCGGAGGACTTTGTGTCCTTGGGTGACTGCGGTCACGTGGGAGCGATGCTGTGTGCGTGCTCCGAGGTGAGGAGTGGTTGAGTGCCACGATTCACGCCGATTCTCAATATGATAAGATCGCTCCTGCGATCGAAGCAAACCATCACTTATTACGCCAGTACGAACTTTGTGTCCCAGTGTGACATCCAGTAACGGAAGGTAGGCTTTATGCGCGCTTCAGGAGTAGGAGTGGCGAATGCCACAATCGAAACCGATCATCAATCGGGTTTGGATCGCTCCCGCGATCAGAGGATCTATCAGAGCTAGGGTGTACGAAGGAAATTAATTGTAGATATTTGTTGTATTTTCTTTGTACATAAATATATTTGTTATATGAAAGCTCTGTGTCTGTGTTTGCTGTGAGTATCCATGACTTCACGATATCTTACTCTGGAGCGCCCAGTTGGTGAGATTCCGAATGCCCTCCAGAACCACAGCGGCCTGATCGCGACACTCCGCTCCAGGCACGTCCTTCAGAACCTCTTTCAGCATCGGCAGGCTGGGAGCAATGGTGAAGGCTTCCCTTCCATTGGTCTTCGCCAGCAGAGCAACCACCAAAAGCCACAAAGGACGAGTATCCATTGTGGACGCTGTTGAAAAAAATATTTCATTGCCAAAATAACATTTAAAGTTCGGATTTTGAATGATGGCTTAGCATTCAATAGAAGAAAGAAGACAAATATAGAATACCGTTATCATTAACACAATGTTTTAAACTAGACATGGCGATTTAGAGCAAATTGCGCTGTAAACATTGTACGGAGATCTGTGGTCATATCGCACAAAAATGATTGTCATTTAAATCTGAAAAAAAACAACAATGTTGGCAATTCTTTTTTTGGAAGCGCCAAATCGTAAAAAACCAATTGGATAAGAAATATGGAATACGTAATCATCATTGATAGAATTGGGCAAAAATAAAGCACAAAGTCAAGCATTTCATTAAGAAACTAGTGGTGCTAAAACAGCGCGTATTTTCTCGCCATTAATAACGGTTATGTAATACTATCCCAATTATTTAATTTAATCCGATTTGAAATGGTATGTTTGGAGCCTAAAATAAGCAGAATGTATGAATGTAAACTATTTTTAAAAGTTAATAAAAATGCGATACTGATAGTGTCGGAAAATCGATATTAGATCGAAAAATATATGGATAAAACTATAATCAGATGTGCATACCCTTTATGTTTTTTTTCTGTTTGACTTGATAAACTCAAATAATAAGTATTATTGCAATTGGATAAGAATAACACGTGCCGACGTGATGCTAAGAATTCAACATAAAGTTTATTCTGAGTTATAAAGGAAAGATTCTGGAACAATGTTTATTAAGTAAATAATTCACGAATATGTCCAAATCATGGCGGTTTAACATTTATAAAATATTATTCAGTAAGTTTGCTTTTTACAATAAAGATAAAGTTTCTGATGATCTTAACGTAACGTGAAGTGCGCTACGTTACGAAAATTGCTTCTGTTCCTCTTAAAGCGTAATTAAACCATGAAAGTATTGCATCAACCTGATCGCTATTTAGCTGAAACATAAATTGATCTAAGCGTAGAAACCTTCTTTTCAGCGTCTTCAAATGAAGCATTATTTGACCAGAAAGAGGGACCACGATAGAGAAAACTGTCATTAATTTTAGGACGTTCAAACAATAAATTCCTTTTGACCGAAATAAAGTCATGTAATTCTTGTATAAAGGCCCAGAAAATTCTTCCTGAGTTGGAATGTAATATTTACAATAGTTTGATACACTTTTATTGGGTTAAATTTACGACATATTTACGTTCCTCTCTCTCTCTCTCTCTCTCTCTCTAGGGATATATATATATATAATATATATAATAAATATAAATATATATATATTATATATATATGAAACGAAGCGTTTTCTAGTAATTAGAAACACTTTAAAATGATCACTAATTATAAATTAAATAAAGCTAGTGGAAGGTTGATGAGCGCGAGTAACGCCTCCGCCCGCCACCAACCGGTCAAATCGGCGGGGGGGGGATACGCGCAGGCGAAGCGACCGGTTAGTGGTTGCGCGGAGAGCGCCCGAGTGAAGCACGGAACGGGCAGTGCTGCGTCCAAGAGATTTTTATTGTCGTTAAGTGCAATTCGCGACTGAGTTGTGCCTTGAGTGTGGAACCAGGTGACAAGATTAACAATCAGATGATTAGTGGGAAAGTAGAATTGCGCACCAGAACTGATGAAAACCATAAGACAGGAAATCGTGTGCGCCGTGGGCTAGTGTTATAATCCCCGCCCTGGTATAATATAACAGTGGGCGGCTTACGGACATCGCGCAAAGTTGAGGAGGGTCGCTGAAAAGACTAGAAACAGCCGCACGAAACAATTCATTCCACGCGACGTTGCTTTCAATACCCGTGAAACATTGTTCACACGGGCTGGGGTGCCCACCCCGGCAAATTCGTCGGCCCGTTACGTTGGGCCAGAGGAGTTCGCCGACGGAAGGCGAATTCCCGCGGACTTCGCGGGCGAACCGAAGATTGCCGAAGACACCGCCGCCGTTGCCACGACGGCCCGCTCGACGGCTCGCAGATTGAAGCATGGTGTATTTAAAACATTCAGTAGCGCTTTGACCGTGCCACTTGTTTCAAGGCTGCGCATGCGATTTGTAAATACTAGTTTGTAAAAGTGGGTTCTCTGATCATTAAAATATTTAGCATGTGCAAAAGAATTTATAACTATTATGCTTCCTTATTTGCTGCCGCCCATAATTCCTGCGAGACCCATCACGAAATGTATAATGCATAACCCGTTGCCAAATTTATTCTGTCTGCTAAGTACCGTTTCCCAGTACCGTCCACTATATAATACTATATATATATCAATTATATATATATATATAATGAAGCGCCTTCAATGCGGTACTAACACTACATATTATTTTTAGAAAGGACAGGTGTCTTGGTTCGTGATGGGGCCGCTGAAGGCTTTTGGCGAAAACATTGAAATCTCAATTATCATTTTTTTAAAGAAACAAACACTTTGTCACTAGAATCACAAATTTAGTACATCATTCCCCAGTCTAATCACTTTCCCGTTTTGGGTAGCGCGGAAACTTATACCCACAGCTTAGAATACACAATACTTAAATACCATAAACCGTTTTGTTTCTGCTCGGTCTTCCCCTGCGACTGCCGGCGATCGGCGGCGCCTTCGGCGCGACTGGCGGCCCGTCGGACGGTGACCTTCGCTTGCGTGATCCGTGCGCCTCATCTCTCCGCGACGTACACGACACCTTCATCTTCGACCCCGACCTGGTTGTGCACACGTATTTCAGATTGTGCGTATGCACTCACCCAATATCTCTGCTCCACCAATCATTTCTTGGTATCTCAGTTCTCCCTTGCTGCACAACCTACCCATTGTTCTTCGTTGTTCTTCATAAACACGTATACACGTAGCAATTTTCACTCCGTTACCAAGCCAACGCGGTCTATAGTTTTTACTTTGTCACCACAGTTTCCTGCACCTATTCCGCTTCTTCATTCTCACTATTTATTACCGGCCACTGTCACACTTAATTCACTCCCTTAATGATGTCTCATCCATTATTTAGCGTCTTTGTTCCTTTTTTCGCCGCGCGCATCGAAACCGCTCTTCTCTCTTTCGAGTTCGTTCCTCACTAACCGTCACGTCTCCGCCCGGTCTCCCGCCTCCTTGCCGCCTGACCCGCTCCCCTTGATGTGTCTGCTATTCGCCGCCGTTACCGCCGCAATTCAATATTGTAAACAACCAACACGCGCTGCGTAGGGAAACGCGCGCGGTTAGGCGCCCCGGTTCTTAGCTCAGTCCCGTCCTACTCCCTTACTCATATGATTCAGTATGGAAAAGGCACTTGTAAGCTAAAGCATGCATGGGCATTCAAAATCAAACAAGTTGGTTACTGGTAAAAAGACAAACGTTTATTCCTGGACAGGAAGGCGAAGTTACCAGGCAAGTACATTGCATAGAAAGAAAAATGGTGAATCAAAATAAAATAAAGCATTAGAACATTAAGAAGAACCTTACAACTAAAGAAGAGTGGTACAAAAATTTATTTCTATAGCTACAATTACAAATTGTCCCTGAGGACTTTCTGTTGCCTCAACGACGGCCCCACCGCTTTAACAATAGTCTCTAAAGCGGCTTATGGACCCTTGATTACGTGCCTGAAAAGCCCTCCCGGGTGACAAATGTGCCTCAGTAGCCCTTGGCGGAGCGGGAGGCAGCTGGTGCGCGGCCGAAGCATGTCCATTTCCAGCTACGCGGCCGTCCGGCCACGCCTCAGCAGCGGCGTGGGCGCGGCTTGGCGGCAGGTTGCGGCGGTACGCTGACGTCAGCAAGGGCCATCTGGAGGCTGCTTCGCGGAGTCGTAAATGTCCGGTGATATTGACCCCGATACCAGTGCGGAGCACCCCCAGAGATTGTATCTCGAAGCGTCTGCCGTTCCCTCTCGAACAAATTTCAAGGAATGCGAATTTTGTAGCCTAATAAGCAGTGGCAAAAATTCGCCTATTCCCCCCGTAAGTGCCTTGCACTTCCTCTCTAATAAATTCAAGTAAATGCCAGTCCGTAGAGCGTGCGCAGTCCACCTCTCTCTCGGCGACCGGCTCCCACCCCAGAGAATGTCTCTCTCTCCTAAGTAACTTTATACAATATGTCTTCGGAGCACGCACTCGCCCTCTACCCGACCCGACGGCTCTTACCCAGAGAAGTCTCTCTGTCCTAATGTAAACTTTGTTTCTCCCTACACGCACGAGGTTTAACTCTTCTCCCCACCCTTTCTACTCATGTGTTCATGCCTCCCTAAAAAATCGCTCCGCTATTGCTAAAGGTGATGGCGTTGTACACTAAATTGGCAATAGGCTCCTGCGCGGTATAGAATATATTCCTTCTCTGTTTTTGCGCAAGTAGGTTCATTGGCTCTGAGGGTTGCTTCCAGCTACTGAATAGTGCCTCGGATGTCCCGCAGTTACGATGACAGGCTGTTCGGAAGTATTCCAGCTGTGGGCTCTCGCTGGGCGCTTTACAGTTTGACCCCCTTTGTTCTGTTGTTGGGTGGGGTGCCATAAACCTTCGAAATGGGTCAGTACAAAATTCCTTAAGTCTGCTTTACTCAATAGAATTTATCTGAATAATTCTGTACCGCTACAATCTACATGTTTCTAAGATAACTAACCACGTTTCAATGTATTTTAAAGAAACGCACCGCGTTTCAATATATCCAGAGAGAGAGAGAGAGAGAGAGAGAGAGAGAGAGAGATTCCGGTTGCCCATAAATGTGGTGCCCATAAAATTATATTAATAATAATAATTATTATTATTATTATTATTTTTATTACGAGCGTACTCGTTGGAGAACTCCATCATGTTAATCCCCAATCTTTCCCTATCCTTTCAATTATGAAGGAAAATTGTTAACGAACGTGTTTATTTGTTAACCAATGTTTAAATGTAACTTCGTACTTACACAATATCAAACAAAAATAAAAAAACAAAGCGATTGACGTTGCAAAAAATATTTCCAAGAAAGGTTAATTCAGTATTATAGAGTTATGTTCTT